AATTTAAATATTGTGGAAATCAATTGAAAAATTTCTAAAAGATTGCTCCAGAAAAAAGAAAAATTCTAAAAGAGTTAAACAAATTGAATACATTTGATACTCTATGTGATATATTTAAAAGAAAACAAGCTTTCAAAAATTTAACTTGTATAAGATTGAAAAATGCAACGCCTGTTTACGTCAACGTCAGCGTAACAATTGCTGTTATTCAAATAGTTGTTTTATTTATTAAAAATCTTTGCTGTTATCTTGTATTCATTAAAGTATTTAATCATCTGATATATTAAAATGGGAACAAGCTTAGATTTTTTTCCTCTGAATATTGCGCAAAAATGGCTTTCGATTCGACTTGAAAGTAAGAAAATACTACACATCAACCAAATGCTTGTTACGTCATTAAAAGACAAGAATAAGTTAAAGAAATCTATTTTTATAAAAAAGTCATATAAGCTTATGATGACATTTTATTACCGTTTCTAAAAAGTAACAAAAAGCACTACATGGCTATATCAAAGTTTTGCTTTTCGTACAATTGTATTTCACTTTCACTGTTCAATTCCTGAACAAACATTTTTTTTTTTTTAATGTTAGCGTGTGACGCATTATTTTTTTTTTTTTTTTAAATTTAAGTAATTAATTTCAAAGAGCGATTTTTAGTTTAAAACTAAATTAGAACGATGCTATTCTTACGCATTTAAAAACTTTTACGCATTCACAGTAACTAAATATTCTGTTACCTTTTGGTACTCTTTTCCCTTTGATTCTTTCAGTTATTATTACAAGTAGCATTCTTATTGAAGCAAATGGGATTGTTAAATATTCGTATAAATAAAATTTCTTCGTTAGGAATTTTTAGCCTTTAGTTACTCCATTTTAAATGAAGAAAAATTTTATGTTCGTAGCTTAAATGTTGAAATTAAAAATCTATATTTATAGATGGGAACTCTTTTGCATTTTGAAAATGTTTGTTTTATTATATTTCTAGCTGCATTGCTCAGACGATGACGCGTTTCAGCCTAATCAATGTTCACAAAATATACAATGCTAAGCATCTAACAGTGCAAAAAGTATTTCACCTTCAGATCATAATAAAACATAATATTCTGATATCCAATAATTATATTATTGATTCCTTAAACTAGGAAAAAAAATGCGCAAAATCTTCTGCATTTCTGCAGTTTTAATAGAATAATCTGCATTTTAAAAAATGGTGGTTGATATTCATAATATTTATTAAACAAAGATTGCTTTATTTTGTTTTCAATTATTATGTTTCGTAATTTTTGGATTTTCTTTCATAATTATAGCCGACCTAAGCTTCATAGCTCTAATGATGTAAAAGAAAAATTGTTGCAAGTCCTTTTGGTCCAGTCCCAAAACATTTTAGTCAGTTTCGGGCTGTCCCATCGACCAGATGAGTGTGAGTGTTCATTTTTTCAAATCTGTTACTAGTTTTACTCTTGATTTATGACTGTTACTATAAAAATCAAGGTTAGTCTTTATTATTTACTTTCATTTACTATTTACTTTCATTTACTATTCATTTATTATTTAGGACATGAGTCACTAAGAAATCTTCAAATTTTTTAAATAATTATAAATCTTTCATACATTCTTTTGTTATTTGAATTTTAATCCTTTGTTAAAACCAAATGAGCCTGAATAAAACTACAAATTGCTTTACATACATTACCGAGTCAAAAATAAATTCTATGTTAACTTCATAGTAATGCATAGTCGCTTCCATATGTGTAATAAATTTACTGATTGATTAATCAATTACCGATAATTAATTACTATTAATTTTACAATCAATTTGCTGATTGTAATAAATTTATTGGTTGATTTATGAAATCAATTTATTGAATGATTTACTGATTATTTTCTTCTAAAGTTACTCTGAATTTTGTTCAGTTTTTGAATAAAAAAAAATAAACAGGTAGTAAAATGAAGAATTTCTATTTTAAAAATATTGTCTGAAATCCTTAAATTAAATGAATTATAACAATTTACAAATTGATATCTGATACTTTAAAATTTTTAAGATGTGCATTCTGATATTAAATCAGTTGTAAATGCACATATTTGGGTTTATGTGATCCATATAATATGAGAAATATTTGATCCATATAATATGAGAAATATTTGATCCATATAATATGAGTAGTTCATTAACTAAATAAAATATATATTTAACTTACGGATTTCCATAATTACTTCCAAATTTCGAACATTAAGTACAACGTTTAGCCACAAAGCAGGACAAAAAAGAATTTTTATATTAGTTTCAACAGTTATTAGTTTTAATAAATATACAACAATGTACAAATTAGTTTTAATAGCAGTTCAAAAATGGATTTACATCTGCAACAAAGTTTAAAAACTGGGGAGAAATCAGCAACAGAGTTCATTTATTTATTTATTTTTTTAATTCTATGATTACAATTGCTATGCCATTTTTCTTCTATTTCTTGCAAATGATTTTAAAGAAAAAATTCTTTAAGCGGTGAGAACAATTTTTGCTCAAGCTGATTTCTTTAGTAATAGTAGTAACTTATTTATTTACTTCACACTAGAGATTGGCGACAGTCAAGAAAACATCCCTGCGAACAATTTTGATCTTCTTGCTGTCCCCCTCATAAATAATAATTAATGTTTAAAATAATAAAGTTATAAGAAAGATTCAAATTTTTTCACCATGTGCTTACATTTCAATGCTTCAGCATTTCAGAAGAAGAAAAATTCTATAGGAATTTTTTTTTACGAATGTGTTTATACGAAATCAGAGAACGCTAACAGCAAATAATATGAATTCCGTTTTCGACAGTTGATTTTTCAATCTAATTTTAAAAATAACACGAAATTTGGTTGAATCGTTTAAAACAACTAACAAGGGAGACTAGGGAAGTGTGACTCGCCAATTTTGAAATAAACTAGTGGGATGTATGCCTTATGAGGAATAATTTTAGGGGGCAACATTCATTTCGGCCCATAGAAGGTCCTATGAGACATAAAAAATAATTCAATATATAGAAAAATCGGTATTTTATTACTTCAATGCAGACTATTAGTTATTGTAATTATCTCATACTCCAATTAATTTTGTGGTACTTTCACGTACTATATAATGCATATTTAGTCAAAATTGATTTCGAAAATTTTATATATCTGTAGTTTTTCAGAAAAACCTGTTAAGTTAATTTTAAAAAAAAAAATTTCATCAAATTTTTTTAAAAAAAAAACTTTTTCAAAAAATTTTCCAAATTAATTTGAGTATGTAATTGCAAATTAATTAATTTGCTAATTAATTTATTAATTAACCAATTAATTGCAAATTAATTGGAGTATGAGATAATTACAATAACTAATAGTCTGCATTAGAGAAATAAAATACCGGTTTTTCTATATATTGAATTATTTTTTATCTCTCATAGGACTTTCTATGGGCCGAAATGAAAGTTGCCCCCTAAAATTATTCCTCATAAGGCATACATCCCGCTAGTTTATTTCAAAATTGGCGAGTCACACTTCCCTAGTCTCCCTTGTAAGTCACTTATTATTTAAAATTGACTCGAACTGTCAAATGTATCATGTATCTTTAACTGTCAAATACATGTTTAAATATAAAATGTAAAAAGCTCACGTTTACGAGTGCAAAATATCGTAATTTCATATTTAAATTATTGTTAAGAAATTGGCTAAAAATCAGATTCTAAACTTAAAGTAATTTGATTTTTGTAACTTCTGCAGTTCTTTTTACTGGACAAAATAAAAAAATCTGGAAAAAAATAATAAAATTTTCATTGTTATAAGTTGAATATACAGTGCGCAAAATAAGAAATGGACCACCCTGAATAACTTTTGATCTAATGATCGGATCTTCACGTTCTAGGACTCAAAGGTTCAAAGTGGTGACCTCAAATATGATAAGTAATTAGAGCAGACGATATTTTAAGTTGCAAGATGGGACACATAAACGTACTTTCTCTGAGTAAACATGCAATTTTTTTAACGGATTCGGATTTCTGACCTCCAAATTGAAGTGGGTGACCGCAATCTGGGAAATATGATCCCAATAGTTTGATCAGGAGAACGGTCCAAAGTTTGGATCGCATAATGTTAATTTTACATTTTGCGTACTTCGACATACCTTGAAAAACTTTTAAGCGAACTAAAAAGTTTTTGCGTACAATTATAAAATTCATTTAGGCGAAGATAAAAACAGCTTTAAGTGCTTTTAGTTTACATGAAAAAACTATTTTTCATTAGTTTATTTCATGCCACTTGAAACGATTTTGAATTGTAGGGTATACAATTTTTTTGCATAACTTTAAAAAATATATTTACACATGGTTAAATACAAAATTTGAGCAAAATCGGTCAAATAGTTCCTCAGAAATTGAATTTTAAAAATATTACTTTTTCAATCAGTATATGCTGGGGGAGATGAGGCGTTATTTCTATGCTAAGATGTAGAGTTCACAGCAGCTTAAAAAGAGGCTTATTAAATTGGGTAGCTTTTCATAAGTCTCTTTTCCATTTCATCAAAATGTTACTTTTTCTGATCATATAATTTTTATTTCTGTAACAAAAATTCTTTCATTTTTTTGGGGGGGAGGGGCTTCTTAATCAATCATAAGTTAAAGCCTTCACTTACAATATTATATTTTTTTACAAAAGTGCAATCATTATTTTTCATGATTTAATTGTAATTATTATTGATAACAATCACTCCTACTCCTTTAGAACAGATTGCAAAAAGAACTTTCGTGTTTTATCAAAACTTTCATTTAAATAAAACTAAAGCATAATAACAACAAAATTAATAATGAGTATACATAAAAGAAGACAGATTTAGTCAGCATTATTAATGATCGTATAGTTACCATTTTTTTAAAATTATTTATTCATTTTTGAGTAAACTTTTCCTGCTTTACCTCACTAAAAATTTGCCCACAGCAAAAAAGCATAATATCCCACATGAGAATAAATATCACATATGAGAAGCAAAGAAACGTAATAATTTATTTACAAAAAAAATACATTTGTGACAAAATATATACAGTAGATTAGCTATAAACAAACATTCTTGATTTATTGAAATGACATACAAAATCAAATATTTCAAATTCGATTAATGATAACAAACTCACATGTAAACAATGCATTATTATTATTATTATTACAAATTGTAATCAGTTATTGTCAGTATTATATTTTATTTCAGATTACTAACTTTATTTCAAGTTATTAGTTTCGGTAAAACAATTTCCTCTTAAGGTTTTTCTTTTCTTTTTTTCTAATTTTATTTTGAATTTTTATTAGTTTGTTTCATTTAAATGAGAAAATTAAAATCTTTAAAAATAACTTCCTCCACAGCAATTTCTCTTTTAAATTACGTGAAAAAAGTGATTTTAATTCAGATTTTTACTTATACCGATTTTTTCTCGTCCCTGTTTTCTCAGGTGCATTCTAAAACCCAAATTAAACATCTCACCAAGCACCAAGTATGTAAATCTTTCCTACATCTTGCTGGCGTCATTATTTTCTTCGACTTTCTGATAAGCTTCTTTAAGTTTATTTAATCAGGTAACATGCTTATGGAAGTTTGTTTTTTCATACAGAACTATTTTACATAAATATTTGTCGGTGTTGAATTGAAAAATACCGTCTAATTTTTCCCTTATTGCTCTTTGCATTTCTATTAAGAGAATAATCTTCTCCTGAGCATTTTTTTTCGTGCTCTATTAAACTCTCTACAATATTATGTTATTCATCTTGATACTAAAAACTGTAAAGAGTAATAACCATTCGGATACTGTTTTGCTTTCCAACTTTGAGCTATTGATTATTATTATACTGAGATTTCCATATAACGCTCTACTTTACTGATCAACTACTATTGATTAACGTAAGAAAAACCTTTTTTTATGCAAGAAAATCTGCAACTTAAAGTTCGAAAAAAGTCAAGGCTAACGCTCAATTAAAGAAATTAACTCAATTAAGGGAACAGTTATTGAAATATGTTTATGGATACTGTTTAGCCCTCCAAATTTTGAGCTCCTGAAATTTATACAGAAATTTCCCCTCTACGCTCTACTTTCCCTTTAAATAACATGGGATAAACTGATTTTTTGAAGCAGGAACGCTTACAACTTGAAATTTCGGAAAAAACCAAGACCTACATCTAAATTCAACTACTACACTCAACTACTACTACATCAACACTACTACACTCAAAGTCAACAGTGTAAAAAAATTTCAATTTTTTTTCAGGCTTGTTGATAAATTGATTATCCAGTATTTGAAGAAACAAGACGAAACAGGAGGAAAACTCTAAATTTATTTTTTACCCCTTTCTACACAAGGTGGAGTTACCTGCTTTTTCTTACATTTTGCTGACACGATAAATATTTAAAAAAAATTGAACTAAAGAAAGAGAAATAGAGATTTTTATAGGGGAGTGGCAAAGTAAATTTTTGGTAAATTAAATTGTACGATTAAAAGTAAATTAATTAAAAGTAAATTAAATTGATACTAACAGTAAATATATAGTAGTTAGCTCTTCAACGTAAACTATTGCGAAAATTATGATCAATGTACACTATTTGAAGAATAACTTTAACTTTGATAAACTATTTACAAGCGTTACTGTTTATACATTATAAAATGCTAACAATAACTAACATTTTCAAGCAACGTGTGGTAGTTACATAATAATAACCCTTACTTTGCACAATTATTTACAATATTACGCTTACCAAGTAAGCAATACTTAATTATACGTTGTTAATTTAACAACAGGTCTAAAAAAAGTCTTCATATTATATTAAGCTTACGGAAACTTTATAACCTACTTCAAAGGAAATCAATAAATTGCCTTATACTCCGAAAAAAACATTTCGTAAATGAAGTGTTAAAATCATATTAGGTTAAATAATTCCGAGCTGAATAATATTATATGAAGAGCTTTGTTCAGTTCAAACTGGTAAAAACTACTATTCTATCAAACATCTACGGCATTCTTTCCATTTCCATTCAATTCGGCTGATTTCATGGATTTCACTTCAATTTTGACACCATTCGCCTCCATCAAATCTTCCTTCTCTTCAAGATGTCCATCTATGAATATAATATTATACACTTAGTTCATAAGAAAAGTTTTGTGGTTAAAATATGTTAAGTATTAGCATAGTTGCAATATGGTTAAAAAAATGTTCATTATTTCAGAAGAACATTAAAACTTATTTTAACCCTAACTCCCCTAAAAGTTTGTCAAGACATTTACGCTATCCCCTTTTATGCATAATGTTTTTAATCTCGTACATTTTAACCAAAAATTGACAAAAATTAACATTAAAAAAACTATAGCTTTAAGAGGGATACCAATTGTAGATTTGAAGTCAGCGACTTGAAAATATCCAAGATCCGTTAAAAATCTTATTCAACAAAAAAAAATATTCCCCAGTCTTGTAATAATAGTAGTAGTAATCATAAGAATTATAGTAATTATGTAGTAGTAATAACAATTCGAACAATAACGATAATGGTTTATAAATATATAGCAATAATTAATTACTGTAATAAAGATAATTATGCCATCATTTTTGGATGTGATTTTGGGGCAACAATGTGTCACAATCATAAATTGAGTACATTTGTCAATAATAAAATAAATACTTAAGTAAATTTCTGGCTCCAATTTTTTAATTAAATGTAAGATCTCAAGACGATGTTTCCTTCAAGCAACTATAAACAATAAATAAAAATATGGGGAATATGTATTGTAAAACAGGTTCTTGAACACTATACCAATTGGAGCTTTTTAACAATTTTTCCCCTATCTAATAAAATTTATGGAATATCGAACTTTCGTTATTATCATGGAATTTCTAGAAATAGGATACCTATTTATTTAAACCACTATAAAATTAGCAAGTTTGTTAAATTATTCTAAACTAGCCGCCTGAGGCGGCCAGCTGTCCGCCACGCTGAAGGTTTTCACAAATAAAGTTTTTTAAAACATAGCAGGAAATCTGAAGATTAGTGGACAATTAAAGTGTTCCTGTCCTGCAATTTTGTCTTCATATCCAGTTCTGCTGCAGATGTGTTATAGCTCTTGAGGATGTTTGAAATTATATAGCTACAACGCTTAAGAAAAAAAAAACTAAAATGCTAAATACATGAAAAGAACACGAAAACGAATAAATTTTTTATGGTATCAATTTCTATTTCTATATAATTTTTTATGGTATCAAATTCTATTTCTATATCTGTTACGTCAAGCACTCAGGTATTATAATTTGATCTAGTTGTGCTTGTATAATTTTGATCTAGTTGCGCTTTCTACGTCATTTTGTTAACATCGTTTGGTTTGTTATTTAACATCGTTTGGTTTGTTATTTCTAAGTTAACTTTCAAAAAATTGGCTGGCATCAGCATTTTTATTCTTTAAGTTGTTTATTTTTTCTTTTGGAATTCGTTCCTTTTTAGCGAAATGTTTTTCAACCTAATCGAATTCTTTGCCGACTGTTCTCTGTATATATAAAGAAAATAAAGTAAATATTTTTAAAGTGTTGTGAAAAGAATTTTTAGTTGTACAAAGTACTACAATATCGCTATAAAAATTATCGTCTTCGCTTAAGAAAAAAAAAAAAAGAGCGTGGAAAGAAGAAGAAAAACTTATTATAACAATTATGAACAGCGACAAATATATCAAAGCGAAGCGTTCTATTTACGTATCGAATATGTTGCCACATTTTTAATACAAAAGTTAAACTTTTCTCCACTTTAATAAATGTAAACTAATGCGAACTTTACAATTAAATTATTAATTCCTTCGTATATTATTGGTTTAAGTTGTCGAAAATTAATATTTCAATTGTAAGGTTCGCATTAGCATACATTTATAAGAGTGGGGAAAAGTATATGCATTTTTTAATAGTTTTTTGAATATGGCTCTTTGAAGACGAAAAAGCAGACGAAAAGCATAGACTTACAAAATGACTGATAACTAAATAACTAATCCAAATTTTTTAAAAAGAAAAAAAATACTTCTTCATTATGTCAAAACACAATTATGTGCCGAGTTTCGTGCCTGGGCGAGGCTTCTGGGGCGATATATTGTGATTACAGACACACACACACAGCCGCTTTTATTATTATGTATAGATTAAATACCATTTTAACCATAACGTATTTTCTAGCTTAGTATTAAAGACGCTTTAATTTAAATTATTCAAGTGAAATGTAAAAATAATTCAAATAATATGTTTATATTTATTAAATGAAAAAAATTTTGTACAAAATCCACTGATAGCGGGCAAATGATGTTTCATATTTTTTATACTATTTTCAAATGACTATTACTTGTGTTACAATGCCCTCTATTGGCGAATTTTTGCACTATAATTCTTTATGTAATAAATAGTCAAGTGCCTCATTTAAAGCAAATTTTAGTTCCAATTTTATTTCATTTGGACCAATGGAACATATTTCAGAGCCCTCTGAAGTGGAAAACTTCATTAATTCATTTAATACTTAAATTAGGACCGTGAAAAAAATGCGTGTGTAATATGTGTTTCAAGTAAAAAACTCTTTAAACTATTAGCCAAATACAAGGGAAAAAATACCAATTATTCTACTCACTTTCCTTTAATGCAATAGACTTTGCTTTTTTCAGTTCTTTCTCTTGCCTTTGTTGTCTCCTTTTGAACAAACGATAACAGAGACACATAGCGGAACAACCAGTAATCATGAAAAAACCGTATAGCCAAGGAAGAAGAACAATTTCTTCTTGCATCTGTTGAGAAAAAGGTACAAGTTGAAAATTTTTATTTAATTGAACACACGAGTTTGCTCCTTAAATAACAGTTAAGTCCTTAAATAATTTCCCAGAAAATTCTGCATTCACAGAAAATGTTTAAATTTTTAAAAAAAATTATTCGATAATTTTTGAGTTGTTGGCGAGATTCGGTTAAATACAATGCATGTTGGAATTCTTTGGATATTATTAATAATTATTATTACAACAGTACTCAAAGTATTCGAGGAAAAACATTAGAGCAGGGAATACCGAGAAATTACATTTAACCTTTGACAATCAGCAGTGTAAGGAAGACTTAGAAAGGGCATACTTGGCAGGGGAACTAACCACCTTAAAAAATTAACAGTGCAGGAATTAATCTACCCTCAATCTTTCGTAAGAATAAAAATTTTTAAAAAAGGAAAGAAAGAAAGTTATTCCAATGACTAAAAAAAAATTTCTGTATAAAATACTACATTGTATTATCTTTGGCATGTGTATGATATTTTAGAATTTATTTTGAAGTCAAGCTAATTTCACCAAATATGTAAGTATCACCAAGCTAGTATCACCAAATATATAACTACACCCTTAAAACAGGAAAATCCAACGATTCCTTTTCCTCCTCCACCGCCTGAAAAGAAACATATTTCGTCTATCATCTGAACTGGAAACTCCAGATTCGAGACAACTTTCGGAAAATCTTGTACCCAAAAAGGAATTAAAAGAGGAATATATTTTTTAAAAAGAAATTGCATTCTTAATACTTACTTCCAGTGGAAAAGACATGGCAATGATTGTCAAAGCTACTGGCACATTCTGTACTCCGCATTCTATGGCGACAGTCTTCCGAATTGGAATAACTTGTTTTCCAAGATAAGAAAGAAAATAACCCATGGCCAGTCCCAAAATGGGTAAAATTATCGATAAGAAATACAATTCAAGTGGTACATTATCAAACATGTTTGGGAAGAGAACTAGTTCAATTGCAATACAGATGAACATTATCAGTAAACCGCACAAGCTTCCAACCTAGAAAAACAATGTTTCATATTTTAGTACAAAATATGGATTCTCTAAATACTCATGAATATATATATATATGCAGGGTTATTCATATTTCCCTCCGGGGTTTCGAAGCGTTATAGTAAAAAAAAAGATGGCGTTTGCAGGCGGAGGGAATTATGAATACCCCTGTATATATATATATATATATATATATATATATTTATATATGT